TTTTTATCTCCCTGTTAAATGTTTCTTTTTATATATATATGTTTGTTTTTCTCTGTCAGATTTTCCGGCCTTTGTGAATCAGCTCAAGATAAAAATGGCTTTGAGAGTGAATGACTCACCTGCAACCTGACAATGCAGCGCTTTATGCTCGTCTCGCTTGTTTACAATGGGCCGGTCTCTATTTGTACTTTCTAATCAGTGAAGCTGAAAGAACTTTCATATCAGAGTGTACAGACGGGACGGCGCATACGAGGCGTAGCTATTAAGATATTTGTGACATTCTTCAGCATGTGAACATGAACGTATGGGATCAGAACGACTTACACATGGCAAGATATTTTCTTCTGTATCCTGAAAATCTGAACAAATAAAATCTGACCATGCAGTGAAATCACCTGTAAGAGTGTGTGTATAGCAGGGGTCTCCAATCCCAGTCCACGAGGGCCGGTGTCCCTGCAGGTTTTAGATGCGTCCTTGATCCAACACAGCTGATTTACATGGATAAATTACCTTCTCAACATGTCTTGTTCTCCAGAGGCCTGGTAATGAACTAATCATGTGATTCAGGTGTGTTGACCCAGGGTGAGATCTAAAACCTGCAGGGACAGCGGCCCTCGTGGACTGGGATTGGGGACCCCTGGTGTATAGTCTTAAAATTGCTCTGGAACTGGAAAGCATGCCCAGTTTCTCATTTAGATAGTCTTGTTTTAGCTTTGGCTCCACCTGCTGTACAAAAGCTAACATTTGCATTTTTAAAATATGCAGACATATGCAACAGTTTGGTCGGCATTCACGCACAATCTGATATCCTCGTGTTGGTGTTGTTCCCAGATCATCACACTAAAAGTTGTTCCAGGATCAACATTGCAAGTGACCAATCAGAATGTTGTGATGTCATACTTTTGCAACTTCGGGAAAAACCGGCGTAAAACAAAAAACTGTACTTAAGCTGCGAGAAACCGCCTTTGTCCGCCGATCAACGGACCCTAACCCTGACCCTTTAATAAATGCTAAGCAGAATTGACATTGTCCTTGCAACATTGGAATTTCATAAATGCACGAATGGGTTGGTGCGCAAAAGAATAACGTCACAATAATGTGATTGGTCACTTGCAATGTTGAACCTGGAACAACATTTTCATGATGATCTGGGAACAACACCAACACGAGGATATCAGATCATCCCGGCATTCACACTGAAGGTGGTTGGGTGAGTTAGATTGCTACTGTGTGTTACAACCTGCAACTGAAATAACTCCACTTATTATAATTACAATAACAGGATAGGATCATCTTTGTTGTCTTTATACAAGTACAACAAAATTTAGACTGGCATCTCTTCTGTGCCCATCAGAAAATGGCTCGGTGTTTGTAGCTGTTGTTCATGTGCATTGATTTATGTGCTTTTCACTGCAGAGCCTCACTGACATGGAGACCCTAGAAGAACT